TAGGTCATCGCCCATGAGGCTTTTTCGGTTTCAGATCCCTGATGGCTTTCGCGATCTCCTTTGGCTGAAACAATGTTGGTAAGGATACAGTTTCTGATTCGATTTGTGGTAGGAGAAATGGACCAGTGCACATTGGGCCAGCGAGCCGATTTTTCGACGAAAATTCCAATTTTCCATAGCAAGTAAACATATTTTAATAAAAAAATTTGAATAGTATATACTTTGACTAAAATGAATCAAAATATTTTAATTGTTTTAATGCATCCCTGAAATTTTGGCAGCCCTTCAAAGTCAGTTGTCTGATTGCATGCGTGCAAAACTAAAAAGCGCGGGAAAGATTTTGTTTACTTGCGAGCGTGCCAACATTGTTGTGGTTTAAGCAATTTTCACTAAAATTATGGAAACGAAAGACAAAGGTATGTAGAATATTTGTATTAAAAAAGACTTTGTTCATGTTTGATAATGTGTTCTTTGTGTGCGTTTATTTGTGTTGTCCAAGAGTAGAAAAAAGCTAACCTGCTAACCCGTCTGTTGTGGATTATAACAAATTTTGTGCCAACTTTTGCCAAAAAGTAACTATCTGTCATTAAAGTGCAAAGTGTATATAAACTAATTTTATTAAGGTTTTTTGCTCCATTTTGCACCGATATGTATAAATCCCACATATTGTAGCTGCATTGCAGAAAGGAGGGCGATTGCACAACCTAAGCTACTAGCTAAATTCTTAGGTCTTGATGAATTTCTCATTGCCTATTTTGACAATATTTTAATTTCAATTTCTTGCCACCTACCAATTGATCCAACTAAATTTTAAAAATATTGTCAGAAAACCATATCACTATATATGTCCTTGTATCCATGGTTTCCAATGTCAGCAACAGTCCATAAAGTGTTAATGCACGGATACCAATAGTAGAAGCATCAATCCTTCCATTAGGTGTTCTCGGCGAGAACGCCTCAGAAGCTCGCTACAAATACTATAAGAGTGACAGGAGGTTACATGCTCGATAGAGTACACGGCAGAACAACATGGCAGACGTTTTCCACAGAGCAATGGATTCCTCAGATCCTCTTGTGTCAAGCATCTTTTTAACAAAAAGATTGGGTCACCAAAATAAACTACCCCTACCAGCAGACGTAATCGAACTTTTGGAATCACCTTGCTATATTCTTGTAACATGAACAATAATAACAATGTTCCCGATTTTGATGCTAGCAATAATGATAGTGATTCAAATTCTGACTTTGAAAATCCGTTTTCAATAGAAATTGATGTAGAAGACGACTGTTAGGAACATTTTTAAATGTCAAATACCCATTTATAGTCATTTTGAATGCATTGTTATTTTTTTACTTATTAATATTAAGGTTAAGTGTTAAAAAAATGAATTAAAAACATTTGTTGAATTTAACGAGTGCTAGCAATATTTATTACCGTACAAGTATCAATAAGAGAAAACCTATCTCATATGGGCGGCTAGGGAAGGCGTGGTCAGATCAGTCTGAAACTTAGATATATTAATATGTGCATCGACACTATCATATGCACCAAATTTTAAGAAGCTAGCTTTAAAACTTTAATTTTCGTCGAAAAATCGGCTCGCTGGCCCAATGTGCAGTGGCAGGGTTCGGCTGGAAAACGCTTCGGAGATGTGAAGAAGAGTTTCGGCTGTATCTTCGTCGCTGCGGGCCTAGCTAACTGATTTGTTTCGTATCGGAGTGACTGTTTCGATTGGAGAGCTCAGATTTTGGTGTGCCCCCCACAGAGGATGTTTTGTACTGGTTGGCGAAAGTTTTCCGATGTTCTGCAGTTGTGAATTTTCAGCGTCTTTCTTCAAGACTCGGTTTAGTGTGCAAGTTGCTTCCTTAAGACGTTGTTGTCAAGATGGCGATCGGTTGGTGTGCCAAGCACGTCGCAGACGCCTCTTTTTCAGTACAAACTGTTGCAGATTAATTTTGAAATGGTTGGAGTGCACGTTCTTCAATCGTGGTGTTGAAATAGTGGCTGCTGCCACGAGTTCATCTTCAAGTGCAACGGTGGAGCAGTCGATGTACGCTTCGATGTTGAGCTGCGGGGTTAATTCGATGTGGGAACTTACATACTTTTTATATTTGACCCAGTTTGTTCTGGGCGATGTCAGTCTCCGGGGGTGATCTGTAGTTTCTGGGCTTTGAAGAAGAGTTATTAGCAGTGGCGAATGGTCAGATGAAAGGTCCGAAAGCGCTTATTATATTGCGTGGTATATTTTTTGGTGAAAGTGGTGTTTGATGAGTTCCCTGATTCGGATGCTGTGCCGTAGAAGGTGTAGCCTCTCTGGGTTTTCCGTTCCTGTTGGAGAATCCCTTCTGGGTATTTAGCTGTCCAAATGAGGATCATGCAGCCGTCCCGAAAAATACTTCCGGCGTCGATTTTGAGTAAGTGTACACGTTTTGACTGTTTTGGTGGCGCGTTTTTCTCACTCGTCGCATACGGTCTTTCAACTCCTTGTAGACCTCATAGCCCCTGTAGTTTGGCGTGTGATTTCATCCGCAGTTTTCACATTTCTTCTTTAGGGGGTCTTCCTTGTGGGCAGGGCCATTAGCGGAATTGTGAAATTCTCCACAAACTACACAGACTGATCGAAGTGTGCAGTTTGTCCTGGTGTGTCCATTCTCCTGACAGTTTGTACATTGCACTGGGCCGTTTCTTTTATGTGGCTCTCTCACCTAAATTCTTCGGTGCAATAAGTATTGGGGGTTACGTCAAGCTCGATTCATTTTAGTACAACTTGCAAGCCCTTGCTGCTTTTTAGTTGGTACGTGTAGTAGTTTAGTAGACATCGCAGTCAATTCCGCGATAAGATCCGTTGCTGTAGAAGTTGTTGGTTTTGCTGCTTTTGCTGTTTGGTGCGATTGCAGAAGTTTTACCGCTGCATGTTGCTGATGCGCCAAGGGTCGGCTATGATGGTGGGTGGTTTTACATTAAGAACTCCACGCCGTTGGAGTGGGAGTAACAGTGAGAAGAGAGGGTGAGCACGATCGTGCTCTTTGGGTATCGACTGACAGTACAGCCGGGTTGCTCTTTGTAGAGATATACGAGAAGTACCCCACTCTTCGGCTCACCGAATATAGTATAGTATAGTACGGCACGATTCGCGAGAAGATAGACGCGAGATAAGAAAATATAAGTAAAAGTCCAAAGAAAAAAATAATATGTTCAGTTTACTGCTTGTCCCGATAGTTTGAGAGCGAACCGATCAGCTGATCGTTCGCTCATCTAGACCTGTGTAGGGCGAGGGCAGAGAAAAGGAAACGCAACCAGAACCAACAGTCTGCACGGTCGAACAACGCTGAACGCACGCCGCCGGTCTAACGAAATTTTCACTTTATCATACACTTGTTAATCTTGAAATCAGAATAATTATAACGCTTTGAATTTATCCTTTTGTGTTTGCCTTTGCCTGGGAACCTCTCGTACAATGACCCCTCGTCATTCGGCGACGTCATCCAACCTTTCCTCGAAAAATTTACTTCTCGCTACGGCTCGTATTATGGTACGAAACCCGGCCAACGGCCTGCAAGCAGTAATAAACGCTCTCGTCGATCAAGGATCCTAGGCAACCATAGTATCTGAACACGTTGTTCAGTCCCTTCATTTGAACCGATCTGCCGTCAGAGCATCCATTTTTGGGGTAGGGCAAGGGGGCGGTCGTCGTTGCAAGTATACGGTCAACTTTGAAATCAACAGTATTATTAATTCCAATTTTTCTTTAGATGTTGATTCAGCATATGTGCAGTGCTGCCAGAAACTCCAAAGCAGAAATTGATAGATTTAAAAAAAAAAGTTGCTAGAAATTGCTAAAAATTCTTCGAAAATAGCCAAAAAAATGCTAGATGATTTAAATTTAACTTTTAAACTAATTAAATGCCAGATGAGTTAAATTTAACTTTTAAACTAATTATGCATGTAAATGATCGCTTGTCGCCATCGCCGAGTGTTTTGCAATGTATAGGTATAGTGCCGCTTCTTGTTCCTCCGTTTTCGTGGACTTTTGATGGAACAACTCATTTTTTTGTGTAACAGCGCCCATCGCAGCCACGTGTTCTTTTGATGCAATACGCACAATAGGCCCTGTTAGTGTCCGTGCAGTCCTTGCGAATCCACTCCTTAAACTCGTCGTAGCGCAGCCAGGCATCCCGAAAATGTTGTTTGTAAATTTTTGGCATCTCTACCGACACAACACAGCACAAAAGTGACCAAAAGTGTTCATATGATTGAACCACTGAGTTAAAAAATAATTCCGATATCTTTGTGAACCATTTTCGATCGTAATTGGTTCAGTAAATTGGAATAGGTATAAAAAAAGTTCAAAATAATTAAGAAAAATAACAAAATGTTTAGTTTTGTAATAAAGTTGCTAAAATTGCAAAAAAAAAAAAGTTGCTAGATTTGTTGCTAATAGCAAATCGAAAAAAAAGTAGCAAATTTTTTTAAAAGTTGCTAGATCTAGCAACTAAATAGCTAAATTGGCAGCCCTGCATATGTGCTCAATTCCGTAACATCCTGCCTCCCCAGTCTCAGCTTCTCGCCGAAGTGATGGGATCACATCCAAGGGCTCCCGTTGGCTGATCCAAATTATTACAGATCGAAACGAGTTGATCTCATCTTGGGAGTGGACCTGTTGGCACAAATCATGTTGCCAGACACGAAGATTGGATTGCCCGACGAACCCATAGCTCAAAATACCCGTTTGGGATGGATACTATCTGGGCGAGCAGAAGGAGTTACAAAATCTTCATTGCACTCAGACCCTGTTAAGTTGGGACACTACAGATCCTATAACAGCTTTAGGAATGTATTGGCTCCCAAACAAGGACTGTTTTAAATACCAGATCAACTTCGAGATGCCAGTCAGCTCCACAAAGAGGATGATCCTATCCAGTATAGCAAGGTTGTTTGACCCGCTAGGTCTCATTGCGCCGGTCATCATCTCGGGAAACTTATATTGAAGGAGGTTACCATGGCCAAAACAAAGCAGGCAGATGGCATGCAGACGGTTCTGGACTGGGACGACGCGGTTCCTGATAATATCGCAGAGCGATGGCGAGTATTTCGAGACAACTTACTGAGGATCGGCGAGATAAACGTGATCGGTGGATCCATTACACCCCATCTTCAATATCCTCAGTGCAGATGCATGCATTTTGCGACGGATCTTCCACATCTTATGCAGCTGCTGTGTACCTAAGAGTAGAGCATCAGGACGGAAGATGCTATACAACTCTGATGGCAGCAAAATCAATGATTACTCACACCAAGCCCTTAACTATACCTCGAACAGAGTTAAGTGGAGCGGTATTGGCCATCAAATTGGTGAGGTGGCTAACTATGGCTAAGTTTCTGAGCTGCTTTCTGGTCCAGACTTTCTATTGGACGGATGCTACAATTGTGCTGCACTGGTTGTATGGAGACGTCAATAGATGGAAGACCTTTGTTGCGAATAGAGTCGTCTTCGTTTTGAATCATTCCTCGCCAATTCAGTGGAGGCACGTTAGCTCTACCGAGAATCCAGCGGATTGCGCTACACGCGGTCTCACTCCCATTGAGCTAAAGGACTTCGAGCTGTGGTGGCGAGGGCCATCGACAGATTTCGGTCAAATTGGCATTAACGACGCCGCTTTAGAGGCAAAGGTGGCCAAAATGCGAGTTCACCATGCAGTCCCGCAGCCGTCGTTTCTTGAGAGATTTTCAACACTCAGCCAGGCTTTACGAGTCACAGGCTACATCATGCGCTTCAAGGACAACGCGTCCGGCAAGGTAGACAGACGCCTTGGGCACTTAATAACTGAAGAGCTCGACTACGCTTTATTAGCCGTCGTGCGTATCGTACAACGCGAATCGTTCGCAACCGACTTGTCTGCAGTAAGGAACTCCAAACGGTTGCCCTCGCGGAGCAAATTATTAAATTTGTCGCCGATATTAGAGGAAGGCATCTTGCGGGTGAGGGGACGACTTCGCCATTCTAGTTTGTCGCACGAACGTCGTCATCCGATAATCCTGCCAAGCTCTCATCATTTCACCGAATTAGTAATACGTCACTCTCACTATCTAACCCCGCACGGAGGCGCGCAGTTGACTTTGGCACACGCGCGTCAGCGTTTTTGTATCCTGACAGGACGGCAAGCAGTTCGAAGGGTTATACGGAAATGTGTTCGCTGCTTCAGAACGCGACCAACTACTACGGCTCAGCTTATGGGAGACTTGCCCGTTCATCGAGTCAACCCTCCTAGTCGACCATTCATTGCCACTGGTATCGACTACACAGGCGCAATAGAGATTAAAGCAGCGCGTCTACGAGGCACTAGCTTTTACAAGGGATACATCGCTGTGTTCATTTGTCTCGCAACCAAAGCGGTGCATTTGGAGGCGGTGACAGGTCTCACCACGGAACATTTTTTACTGGCTCTGGACAGATTCACCGGGCGACGAGGAATGGTTCAGCACCTTTACAGTGACAACGGTACCAACTTTGTTGGTGCAAACAATGTAATGAAGACGGTGTACGGTCAGCTTCAAGCGGATTACGAGAAGCTCATCGCCCCCAAGCTTGCATCGCAGCGCACAACATGGCACTTCAATCCTCCTCTGTCACCTAACTTTGGTGGGCTTTGGGAGGCCAATGTAAAGTCGGTTAAACACCATCTAAAGAGAGTCATTGCAGATCGTCGGCTTACCTACGAAGAGTTGTCTACGGTGCTCGTAAGCATAGAAGCGTGTCTCAACTCAAGGCCGCTTTGCCCTCTCACGGCTGACCCGGACGATCTAGAAGTGCTTACCCCAGCGCACTTTCTCATCGGAGACTCAATGCTGGCGCCGCCGGAATATCAACCACCATCCAGATCCTTCGCAGAGCAGTTTCTCATCCAGCAGACGATGATACGACATTTCTGGAAGGCGTGGAGTCGTGACTGGTTAGCGCATCTTCAGCAAAGGCCAAAGTGGTGTCAGGAGACCGAAAGCTTTCAGCTTAACGACCTTGTCATTATCAAGGACGACAGGTTCCCCCCATCGCAATGGTTGCTCGGGCGTGTTATGGAGTTGCACCCAGGGACGGACGCACTGGTCCGGGTGGTGACAGTTAAAACTTAGCAGCTCTGTCCGCTGCCAATCCGCGCCTAGGCGCACTCACCTCGATTTATAGACTGTATCTTGCGCACACATCTTGCTCTCATCTCTCCATATTAGATACCGAGGATACGCATCCGAGCTCGCACCACAGCCTGGTGGACCCGGACAAGCGAGGATGTCTCATGCTAGGTCTAGCATTGGCGGGCGGCATATTCAGTTTACTGCTTGTCCCGATAGTTTGAGAGCGAACCGATCAGCTGATCGTTCGCTCATCTGGACCTGTGTAGGGCGAGGGCAGAAAAAAGGAAACGCAACCAGAACCAACAGTCTGCACGGTCGAACAACGCTGAACGCACGCCGCTTGTCTAACGAAATTTGCACTTTATCATACACTTGTTAATCTTGAAATCAGAATAATTATAACGCTTTGAATTTATCCTTATGTGTTTGCCTTTGCCTGGGAACCTCTCGTACAATGACCCCTCGTTGACTTAATACAAGGGGACACAACTGAACATAATAGTAAGATAAATTTTGTGGCAATGAAGTTAGTATTAATTGTTTTAGGAGCGGCAGAGAGTCAAGATTTGAGATTATAGGAAAAAGTAGTAAAGAAGCCCTTTATTACAAATGTAGTAAGCTCTAGAAGGCTTGTGATAATAATAAATCCGTGTTGACGGGGAGAAATACTTGATCTACAAAGGCGCTGCAAATGAGGAGTAATGATTTTTCAAATAGCTTAGGAATAGCTGACAACTTAGAAATACCTCTATAGTTACTGGCTTCTAACTTGCCAACGAAGTTATAAAACTGTTTCGGGTCGTGAGAGAACTGGACCTTACAGCGGATTAAGTAACTATTATAACACTGAGCATTAAGCACGGTAAATCTTGACCGAGCACTTGAATATCTAGTAAGCACAGATTGAGAACCGTTATTTTTATATTTTCTAAAAAGTCTGGAATTTATATTTCTTAAGTGTGTCAACTCTTTGCTAAACCAAGGTGATTTATTGGAAATTGACGAATAGTACCACGGAACACAGGAATTAAAAAAATAGTTTATTGCAGTGTAAAAAACATTAACTGCGTCGGACATATTATTTCATAAGTAAAGATCAGACCAATTAAAGCCAGAAATAAAAATATTCAGCGTCAGAAAGTCTGCCTTGCGAAAATAATGTATTCGCTTGGATGATTTTTCTTCTATAACTCTACCCGTGTCAAATGAAAGTTCGATTGTAGGGTGATATGGATCTTCAGGTTGCGTGAGTGGTGCTACTCTGGACAGAAACACACCTTCAGGATTTGATACAAAACACAAATCAAGTAGGCGACCTAGTGAATTTCGAACATGATTTACTTGAGATAAGGATATGTCAAGCAGGCCGTCAATAAAATCATGCTGTGCTATAGGTAGTAAGTCATTCGATCCATCCTCAATGGACCAGGTAACTCCAGGTATATTAAAATCACCTAAAACTACCAACTGAGTCCTATCGGAAAGCTTATTTGCAACCGACTTAATAACGGAAAGGTGATTTAAATAATCAGAAAGTTCAGACAATGGTGGAATATATGAGCAAGTTATGTATATAGAGCTACCAGGAAGCAATAGCTTAACACAAATAAATTCAATGGTATTGAATTCTTCAAAAAATAACCCCTCTGACGGGAGGTTTGAATCAACTCCAATTAAGACTCCACCTCCCCGTCTAGAGGGACGGTCATACCTATATATTGTGTACTTACCTGGCAAAACTTCGGAGCTAAAGATCTCATTTTATCTTATGGAACCACTGTACCAATGAAACGAATTGAAATTTATAAGCGAGCAGTTATAAGTACCGCAAGAGCGGGAGAGAGCGAGAGAGCGGCAGCGCAATTTAGTTCAAGAGCATGCTTTTTCTTCTATAACTCTAGCCGTGTCAATGGGTGATATAGGGTGATATGGATCTTCAGGTTGCGTAAGTGGTGCTACTCTGGACAGAAACACACCTTCAGGATTTGATGCAAAACACAATTCAAGTAGGCGACCTATCATAATATACTAGTTTTATACTCTACCAGTAGTACTCTAGTTTTTTATATAATCTTTCTCTAATCTATATTTTGTTTCTTCAGCGTAGTTTTCTACATTATATAATGAATCTATTCTATGTTCATTATTTAAAATGTCGAGGCAAGTTACTTTGCTTGCCTAGAACTATATCATGTGGACATTAATTATACATCATAGATGGAGTCGTGTTGGAACAGTTAACCAAGTATGAAAGCTAAAAGTCAAAGTCAGTTTTGTCGATAGATATATAGGAACGGATAAGTTTATTGAACGTTCTATTGCTTCTCTCTACTGATGGTGGTGTGCTGTAGACTTCGTGTTGTCTATTTGAAAATATTCCCACAGGTTTTTTATAATATATTTTTTGTATATGTTCCCATATCAGCAAAGAACGTCTTTATTAGACTGTACTTTTGAATAAAAGATTCAAATATAGCTTTTGCGGCTGTTGTAGCGCTTTTGTTTTTTGTTTGCCATTTTGAGTTGGTTAATCTTATGTATACCGGCCTCTTTTTCAACTGGCTAGTACTTCATTGGTGTACAGATCGCTAATATCAATTCTTGCTTTGACTTTTTTTTAATGTTTAAAGACGCATTTATTATTTATTATTAGCAAGGTCACTACTTTAAGTACTTCCTAGATATAAATTACTTTATATACATTGGGCTTAGAAGCGTCATTGTTTGTTGTTTTTCTCTTACGCATGACTTTTTATGTTTACGTCGGTGCCTGGTATTGACTTTCAGGATTTTACTTGTAAGTTTTTTGTGCGGCCTAGATGGGACGTCTGCCACGAAATTGTTTTTTCCCGACTATACTCGACTTTGAAGACATTAAGTCATTCCAACAGCATACGTGCCAATTTAGAATTTGGATTGACCATTAAAAAAATATATATTTTAATTACAAAAAGTTTTCAATAAACATATGGTCGAAAGATTTTAATTAAAAAGTGTGTTCAATAAAAATATGGTCGAATTATTACTTTTCTTACTTTTACCTCCTGTGAATTCTCTGGATGCATATGCAATGGTTAGTTAGAGTCCATTAAAAGTTTAAAGTTTAAACTGCTCCGCACGCTAGGTCTGAGGATAAGCCATCGTTGATGTAAGCTCTCTTTGGGGACTTTCTGAACTTTTTAATTTCCTGAAGATATCGATTGACTGCTTTCTGTTTCTGTTGTAGATTTAGTATTTTTACTGGAATTTCGTCTACTGACTCTCCTTTGACCTTTGCTTTAAACTTGTTAATTAGTCAATAATTATTTGCTGATTACTTTTTAAGTTTGTAGCATGACACTTTAGCTTTTTTTTTGTTCTACTGATCGCTATTGATTCATGTTTGGCTCTTAGGGAATCGATTAGATTAATTTAATTCATCACTTTCTAAAAGCTCTGCATGAATTTTAGATCAAGCTTGAAATGTTTATATTAACATTTTTTGAAATGCCAATATTATTCACTCTTGTATTCAGCAGAGCTTGCAAATAACAGTTCTTGCGGTCAACAAAAGAACCGTGTCTCTTGACTGAACGTTCTGCGCTCAACCAAAAAACAATATCGTTTTTCGTTTTTAGCTCTGCTTATTCGCTGACCGTTTGGCAACGAGCGAAGAGTATGAGTGTATATGCGAATGATCAGTCTTTTTGTAAACCACACTTGCATTTGTGGATTTGGTGCGTTTGGAGTGTTTTAATTTTTGTGTCAAAATCGCAACCAAAAAGTATCTTTTTTTTCAATTTAATGCAGAAGAAAATAAGTCTAAGTTAAATGTTTGCGGTGCAGTTTGCAGGCTCTCACGCAACAAATTAAAAACGGCATTTAATTGCAAAACATGCGGAAGTATTTAATGAATTCGAGATTGAGGACGAAAAAGTTCAACAAAATTTGAAAAAAAGATAAATTTCATATGAAACCAGTAGAGCATCAATCTTTTCTTCGATTACTAAGATTGTGACCACCGATGGAAAGCCTTTTTATTCTGGATAGCGAATGGTTTCGACAGATATTAAGCCCAATTTAAAATGCGCTTTCGTTGAATCCCATAACTTCTCGAAATGTTATGGAATATGTGACTGTCAAAGAGCAGACCATTAAAGAAAATATAAAAGCGCTTGTAAAGGGAAAGCTTCTATCACTGAAAATAGATGTAGCCACAAGAAGGGATAAGGCTATTTTGGATAATGGAAAAAAACATGATAAACGAGGACGGAAGCTAACTTCAGCAAGCCGAAGTTTTAATACCCTTGCAGACTTTGCCGAAATTGCTAAAACTGTTTTCAGCGAAAACGAAAGGAATAAGGTATACATAAATAAACTAGATTTGCATCGTTTAATGTCAATTGCTTTTATACTGCAATATAAAAATAGAAAACAAGAAAGGAAAGCTAACTTCGGGCGGAGCCGAAGTTGATATACCCTTGCAGAATTCTCTATAATAATATTCTCCAAAATTATTCCTATGATGCATTCTTAATACTCATAAAAAATCCAAACTTCCTAACTTTAAAAACACCAAAGTTATGGCATTTCGAATCGTTCAGTTATATGGCAGCTATAGGATATAGTCGGCCGATCCTTATGAAATTTGGTAGGTCGGATTGATTGGCCAAATATAAAACCTGTAGAAAATCTTAACTTTCTAACTTTACAAACACCAAAGTTATGGCATTTCCAATCGTTCAGTTATATGGCAGCTATAGGATATAGTCGGCCGATCCTTATGAAATTTGGTAGGTCGGATTGATTGGCCAAATATAAAACCCATAGAAAATCCTAACTTCCTAACTTAACAAACAGCAGAGTTATGGCATTTCCGATCAATCAGTTATATGGCAGCTATAGGATATAGTCGGCCGATCCCGGCCGTTCCGACTTATATACTGCGTGCAAAGGAAAGAAGGGTGTGTGCAAAGTTTCAATTCGATAGCTTTAAAACTGAGAGACTAGTTTGCGTAGAAACAGACAGACGGACAGACGGACATGGCTATATCAACTCAGGAGGTGATCCTGATCAAGAATATATATACTTTATAGGGTCGGAGATGCCTCCTTCACTGCGTTGCACACTTTTGACCAAAATTATAATACCCTCTGCAAGGGTATAAAAAGGGATACTTTCGCAGCCTTTAACTATTTTTCCTACGGAAGCTATAAGAAATAGACGTCCGATCGGCAAGCG